AGACAAAAGCCGTGCATTCGTGACAGCTTTCATGGGGTCGTGGCATTTAGAGAGAAGAGCCACCTCTCAGATCATCATGTCTAATGATGATCCCTCACTTCAAACTTCAGCCAGTCTTTCCAGAAAGATGTATTTGATATCAAACTGATCGTTACACTTGATCTTAGCCCAAAGGGCACATCCCCAGCTGCTGGATACACAATATTTGTGCATAAACAAAATCCTTCTGCCTTTCAGTCCAGCTTCTTTTCCTAAAGCCTTGTCTCGTTCAATAATTTACGAGCTGTTCCAGAAAACACTCTGGCTTCAGCACTAAGGAACTTTAATTGATTTGCTGATGTCTGGAGCTATGTTAAAATATAGAGTCAAGTCCTAGAGAGGATTTGCTGCTGCGTGCACGTTAACTTCAGAGAGCTGACGATGGGCCGGCAGTTCTCCCCACCGCCCCTTCGTTAGCAGGGGGTGGTGCAGAATATAAATTCCTGTGGCTTTGAGCACCTGCAGCGTGGCTGGGGCTGACCTTCCCCTTGAACTGCTCCCAGTAAAACGGCAGCAGAAGCCCAGCAGGAGGAAGGAGGCTGTGCTGCTTGGAGCTGTCATTAACTTCCAGTTGGGCTTTGAATTAATTGGGCGGCCAGGAGTGCCTGCCAACCCAACAGAGTCCTTCCTGGCTCCACAGCAGCGTGGTAATGGGTGTGCAAGGGTTCGGCATCGCGGGCCGGGGAGGGCCAGGCTTTAGCTGTGAAGATAAGGCAGGCAGGGAGGTGAGAGCATCGCTTATCTCTGCCTGCACCACGGCTCACTTCAGCTCCGGTGCAGTGGGGGGCTATGACCCCGCACAGAGGGATGTGGGGCCTGGCCAGGTCAAACCCATGGGATGCTGCAGGGTCTGACTCCAGTGTTTCCCCCCCTTTCTTTTAAATCTGGGCATTGTGGTCCTGGAGTGGGAGGAGAGGGATGGGTGAGAGCCTACAGAGACCGAGGGAAGGAAAGCTGCCTCTGCACATCACTGTCAGGGCGTTTATTTATTTATCACGTAACGGTAGTTACAGCTGGAAAAAGCAGGAGGATTGCTGCCAGACAATGTATCTAGGGAGACGTTTTGTTAGTGCCACCAGCTGTCCCCTTGGAATAGAGAGCACGTCTGAGCCATGACTCACACAGCCAGGGTCTTATTTCACTCTTGCATCTATCCAAAAATGTTCCTCCAGCCCAAGAATGCAATAAAAGCCTCCTTTTCCTGGCAAGGACTTTCACAGCCAGGTCCCTTCCACTGCCCCGTTGCGATCAGGAAAGGAAAACAGCCATTTTAACTTCGGAAAGTAACTCCTGCTGCAATTAGAGGAACAGCAGACGACCTCCCTGGGAGACAGGGCAAGGGAATACAGTACTCTCTATGTGAGTTACCTACTTAAGGGGGGGGGGAAAGTCATCAGACTGTTCAGAGATGCCTCTAAAGTCAGTGGAGAAGCTACTCTGGGCTTGGATGGATGCAGGATCAGACCTTAATATCCAACACTGCAGCAAAGCCAGAAAGCTTCTCCCAGAAGAGTTTGTCACCTTAGCCTTGCCTTGCCAGCAGCCGCCTTTGCTCGCAGCGTTCCCAAGCAGCCAGCTCTTCACATCTTACTGCAGGTTGGGGTCTCTGAGGTCTACTCCTCCCTGTTACTTCACCCAGCTCTGCTCAGGCATTCTGGCCTTGATGCCCTGACACAGTGAAGCCAGACCTTTTTAAAACAGAGGGAGACAGACTGCCAGATGTTGTGGGACACATCTGTCACGGGAGGGAGAACAGGCTGGGGCAGGAAACCACAGCTTGGGTTGGTGTCACTGAGATGGAGTCAGCTCAACGGCCCATGCTGTGGCTGCAGGGCAGGGTTGTGGTCACCTCGCCGGAGGTTTCCCCAGGCACGAGGTGAGGCTGCTGAAGGGAATTTACCTGCGAGGGACGAGTCCGCGCCGACCGGCTGCATCCAGCGGGCTGGGTACGGGGAGAGGCCGTGGGGCTCTGCTGGAAACGAGCACGGCCGAGCCCTGGCCGTGGGGGAGCGAACGGGGAGAGGGAACGGGCTGATTCTCATTCTCCCTGCACGAGACCCGACGTGCCTGTGGATCTCCTGTGCCTCTTGGCTGAACAGCGATTCCACTGCGCAGGGCTCTCCCGAGCAGAACGAAATTCATAGTCAACTAAATAAACCATTAAATCAGCAGGGAGAGGGGCAGGGCGGAGAGAAACCTCAATAAAAACACTGTTTGGCCAGTGCAATGGTTTTAGTGAACCTGAGTGCCGTTGGGAGGTCCTCACGTGAGGCTCGCCGCATCCCTGGCACCTCTCAGCACCCGTGCCCCAGCTCCTTCTCTGAACTAGCTGACGGAAAAAAAAATTTCCAAGACTGCCTTTGGTCATTAGGCCCACGTACGCACACTCTCGTACGCACGTGTGCACTTCGGGGGAACTCGGGTCACTTCAAAACAACCGAACAAAACTGATCAAAGCTTTCATTCCTACGGCTCCAACGCAAAATGTCAGATTGACAGCAACTCGGTGGTGTCCTTTTATATTTCTGGCGCGGGCAGACGCCGCAGGGGGGTGGATGATGACTATTTCGCGCACTGCCCTAGATGGAGCTGCGAAGCAGCTGGGGAAGGGCTGGATAGAGGTAGAGTCTCTGTGCCACATTCCCGAGATTAGATTAGAGCTTAGCCCTGAACCCTGCAGAGGGGCCAGGCTGGTGAAAGCTAAAGGATGCAAGAGAGATGGGATCCTAGCCATCAAGAGCTTCCAAAAATAAAGAAAAGTGGGTGAGAGGGACTGAAGAGGGGCTGGAATGCTTCTTGAAAGTGTAAGGGTAAGAAGGAAACAAGCTGTCACTCACTGAGTGAGGATTCCCATCCCCAAAAACACTGCCTGAAATGTCAAAGGTGAGAGTAATTGGAAAGGGAGTTGGAATTTGAGCATAGTTACCATGCAAGAGGAAAAATACTCCACCTGCCCTCCAGGAAAGTATTTTAAGCTTAAAAATAAATAAAATTCTGCACCATGAAAATGAGAGATATATGTTCCATGGATAGGATGTCTTGGAACTTGTCAAATCCTTGATTGCACTGTTGTCACAATACTCTCCATGCCAGCTGTGTCAGTCACTAAATAAACAGCTCCTCATCACTAGCAAACAGTGTGGGAGTAAAAGCGGGGGGTGCTCTGCCCCCAGAACGACTGCATCTCACCGATGTTACTAACGAAAAGCTACAAAGGATGTTGTAGCACAGAAAGGCTGGCTGTTGTAAGCAAGGGGGCTTGCGAGAGTAGCCAGAATGAATTAGCTATGATACTATATTATTTATTATCTACGATAATGAATTATCTGCCCAACGGCGTACATTTATTTCACTCTGTGGTAGTGCAGAGCCCTCTCAAGTCTCTGAAGAGCTGATTACAACAGTATCACAAAGACGGAGTTTGGCCTGAAAGCAGATATTCACACCTATCTGATTTCTACGGAATACAGTTTATCCTTCTCAAATTAAGAGCAGGTTTTCCACTAAGTACAGACTGAATAGTCAATCAAATATAGCTTAATATTTCATATTTATCCAAATCTTGATGATGGTGGGTTCTGAACTAAGTGCAGAACTCAAGATACTGGAGATTTGATTTCCAATACGCTTTGGCTAAAACATGAGTTCTGCACAGCTACACGTTTTCCATTTACTTCCACCCTCATGGCATAGCAGGATTAGTCTCTGAGAAAAATCTTACTCAGGTTTTCATTAGGCTTGGCTCAGATGGGATTTATACAAACTTTAAATGAATTAAATTTAGAGTGAGAAATTGGAAGAATTTCACATAATCCTGAAGGGAAAAAAAGAGGGACAACGCCCCCAACCCAAACATATAAAACTCTTTTTAGAGCTCATGTGAAAGCTACATTACCCCTGAGTATCCTTCTAAGTTACCACAGCCTCTTCAAGAAATCTGCTTGATACAGTGCCGAGCAAACCAAACATCCTAAACTTGCGTCAATAAAATCTTTATAGTCTTTCTCACTTCTCTTTGTATGAAAGGCAGATTCCACACCCACGCCAGTTCAGGCAAATCCCAGTAAGTACCTTACCAGAACATCTCCAGTACTCGGTCCCCGGCACGCCGCTGGCACCAGTCCCAGTTACTACTGCCTAACTACACACACTTCACTCCTCATCACACCTCCACCACGGGCTCTCATCTGCCCAATTCTTTGGCTCCAGTGCAATCACTCGTTCAACATCTGCATCCTCTGTGGCAGCAAAGGTGAAAGAAAGAAATACTGCAAGAATCACTAAGCCCAGCAGTTTTCAACTGCTTACTCTTACCTAGCTATGCTATCGCTCCCAGGGTGCTGGGCACCTTTCAAACATTCAGGCAATAGAGAGGAAAAAAACCCAACAGAACAACGGGCAGATGCTCAGCACACGTACTTGGAATTGCCCTGCACCAGAAATATTACCCCACTGTGCATTCTAAGGGTGACTTTAAAATATCTGGGATAAGGTTCTGGCTTGCATTTGTACCAGTACGATCCGACAGCAACTTCAACAAGGAAGATTTCACCCTGTTCAGCTCCCGTTTTCAGTGTCCCTGCACGGAGGAGCAGGGTGGAAGGCAAGGCCGGTCTCCTGCTCCTCTGAGCACTCCTGCTGTGATGCTCCAGGCAGCCCATGAGGCCAAATCCACCAACAACGGGGATTTTTCAGCACACCAAACAGGGACTGCCCCTTTCCCCTCTTGCCTGAGCCAAAACAGTGGTCCTTCAAGGTCAGCAACATAAAACTGGCAAAAGAAGGTTGATGGAAAAGCTGCCAGCGCTGCATCTTGCCAGCTGTCTGTCACGCTAATGGATAAATAGATACTTCTGCTTCCAGGATTTTCCATCCGTTGCTTAGCCCGCCCACAGTGAAGCTGTCACTTAATTTTAAATTAAAAAAGGAGCAAGAGGGATTGTTAAAAAGCCCTAGAGAAAGCAAGAGAAGGAGGCGACATCTGAGAGCCCTGGGTCATCCTACCCCATCCAGCCTCTATCCTTGCTGCTTTGTTCCATATTTAGCTCCCGACAACTGTGCCTAGTGCAGGAACTCCCAGCTCTGCTTTTCCCTCCTCCCTCTGCTGTCCCTTCTCCCTTAGAGCTCTCAGAAATCGCTTTTTCTTTTTCCCAGTGGCCATAACTTCATACCCCTACGCTCAATAAGATGGCAGAAAAGCAGGAAGAGCCCAGCAACACCCAGAACGGTGAACCTGACAACGCGGAAGAGGGCGAGGGAAAAAAGAAGAAGAAGTTGAAGCGGGAAGACCTGCCACCATTTGAAATTGTGACAGGGTAAGAGGTTTAGATATAAATATGAGGGTGCAAGAGAGTGAAGCGGGGATGTTCAAAGGTCTCGGTCTCAGCTCTTATGTTGGGTAATTAAAGACAGTATCTTCAGCCAGTTCACTTCTGAATATTCTTGAACAGCGTAAGCACGGCTTTCATTATTGTGGGATTTTGTTAAAAGTTTTGCCGAGCTTTACAGAGGATGGATTCACACGAGGCCGGCAGACAAATCTGTTTGTTTTATACAGGCAGGTCTGTTTCTGTAGTGTTGACTGATTCCCTTACAGCACAAGTAGTCCCACTGACTGCAACGGGATCGCTTGCCTGATGGTATCGGGATGGAAGGTATTGGCCCTTGATGAGCGCTGAATATTGATTTCTTGGTGTGATCAATGGCTCTTGTCTGAAAGTTTCTCTATCTGTGGATTAGGAAAAATACCGCTGCTACGGCTGGTTTGCTTTAGGGATCTAAGGGACAGATTTTTCAAGAGAGCTAAAAGTCCACATTTTCAAGGGCTCCACACCCACAGCTGGAACCTGACTTTCAGAAAAGCCTAACTGGCAGAAAGGCACCAAAACGACAGGCAGTTTTCAAGACAGTGTACCAGCAAGCAGCTCCTTTTGCTCCAGTGAGCCTGGCCTTTGAAAAAGGCAGATGTAACAGCAATCTACTAGGAAGCTGAACTCTGTCAGACATAATTGACAGCTGCAACTAGAAAAAACTCTGTAATCTGCCATCTCTAAGCATTTCAAAAGGCTCACTGTAGTAGTAGCAAGATGCCCTATGTCATTCTTCCCTCTCGTTTCCCTTAGCAGTCACCAAGGCACTGTTCCCAGCATGTAAACCAAAACCATGATTTCTTCCAGCTGCTTGAATGTAAAGCTCAGGCCAGACTCTAAAATCCCACTTGGAATCCCTCTGCCTGGGATGTGGTCACTGGTAAGAAAGATTCTGCAAAGCAAATTTGGCCGGCATTTCTGAAAACGATGCACGAGGCAGGACAGCACCTATGTCTGATCATCTCACACAATTGGGTTACATTCCTACACAGGGTGAAAAAAAATATTTTTCTTCTTAAAATGTGTCTGCTCTGAAAAAAATCACTTCTTGGGGTGGGGCTGTTGACAGTCTTTGGTTTCTGTCATACACAATCATAGAAATAATACATGTCTGCTAGAGCAGGGACTTTTAAGAAAAGCACATCCCTCTGCTAGGAACAGAGCTAAGACACCAAAATTGTTCATATAAGCCATTGGACCAACGACACATATGGTGACAACTTTCAGATGCTTAAGACCTGTACTAAAATGAATCTCAATGAGGAAATTAGATTTTTCAGCCTTAGAACACTCAACTTGCAATTAGAAATGCTAAGGAATTTGGCAGTATCTTCAAACTTCCTTGCTAACCCCAACAACGTGGACAGGAATTGGTGTGCTCATCATGGATGAAAAATACTTTCTTAGTGTCATCCTGCAATGAAATTATTTGCTGAAACAGCAAGGGTGTTGCAGAATTTCACAAGACTTTTTACTCTGGAAAGGCAGCAGCAAGAACACGAGAGATAACTTGCAGCAAGGGGTAACAACAGGGAAACTTCACCCGCTGAGGCTCAGGGGCGAGCTGCACTGCAGGAGCTGCACCGGGGCAGAGGTACTGGAGCCAGAGCAGCAAGTGATGCAAGGAAGCCTCCGGTAACGCTTTTCTAGGGACGAGTTAAAAGTCTGTGCTATGGCATCTTCATACCTTAAGCTGGTACCAGCTGACTTTCACATTCTATACGCTGATACCAAGCAAGACAGGAGTTTAAGTTTCTGAAATGAAAGTACGCAGACATTTGGTGAGGGACCATAGGGCTGTCAGTATGTATTTATACTGTTGTCATCATAATATTATTTGGAAAGTGCTTATAAATATCTGGTGAATCCCTGCAGGAATCATGATCAAGTCTCCTCTGATTATTAGTTTATTACTAATATGCCGGCCATTAAAGGTGAGAATGAGGAAGTAAAGCAGAAATCTAAAGGACCCTGAAAGAGGTACAGAAAAACCCAGCAATTTTTACTTTAATTTTAAGTACGCTGTGAGTTTAAACTGTGCCTTGACTTGGTATGATCACTGTTTGGATTCTTCTAATTATTTACAAATTTTCAGCCAATAAAGCCAGTTAGGTGAATTATGAGAAAACACAGAACTGTAACTGTGGAAGCACTTTAATTGAATTACATTGCATTTCAGTTTTAGCCCTTGGATTAGGGGCATCTTATGACACACAGCCAAGTTCTCAAGCTGTTGCTTACAGCTCTAAGGAGTCCAGCTTACAAGGAAAATACTGGGAACCTAATTGCTCTGTTTAAGAACATTAACCCTTCTTTTGTCAACATTTGGCTCAACACAGTCCTGGATAAATATAAGCCCCATCTGTGTACATTTCGTGACGTTTAAGCAGACATTTATTTACACTTTCCCCAGGGTGTAAATGAGGCTCCTTCTAGCAGTGATAAATCCTTGATCCCTGTTACAGTTGATTATTACAGGCTTTCTGGAATCAATGAGCCCAGCACGAATGTGTTTATTTGTGAATAGTTGTCAAAGAACATGCAGGACACCGTTTTATCGGCTCAAATAACCATAGTATGAATAGTCACTAAACAAATATTTCGATCTAAAGAATCTGTCCTACTAGTTTACAGCATCGTTCAGATAATCCCACATTTTTACTCTCTTATTAGCAGCTCTCACTCTCTTCTCCTACCCAACATTCAACAGTGCCGGGGTCATGCTGGGCAGCTGCCGTATTCCTCCAGCCTTCCTTATTTCAGCAAACTTAAAAGCACATTACCTGTTCAGCCCACTACCATTCTTACACATCGAGGTTTCTGTCTCAAAGTTTCAATCTTTTTCATCTCGATAGGATCTAACAGATGACAAAACACTTTGCTACCCAGGGCAAGCACTTCGATAAACTAAGTTTAGAAAATTTAGAAAATCCCTAAAGATCACCATTTAATAATGATGATCTTCAGAGAAGCAGGAGAATGAAGATTTCAACTTTTACCTTCCCAAACACCGCAAGAGAGCTATGTGACCACCTGCATCCTATCGCTGGAGCAGGTGATTATTAAGAGTATTGTGACAGTTCAGTGCCTGTAAACAATTTTTGAAAGAACTTTCCATATACATAAAACTTACCTGCAGGTCTTACACTAAATATGATGCCTTTACTGGAGAGAGAAATGGCAAGAAAACTTCACTAATTGCAAGAAAAATCAAAAGCAGAAAAGCAATTAGCCTAGTCACTGAAATACCTGATATTTGTATATTTTAATAGATTGTGAAGTCACATGCAAGATGACACAATTTTAATGTTTTGCATTCTGTGAATGCAAAAAGCAGTACAGCTTCCAGTATAAGAAAATATGAGAACGGAACTCACATTTCCTAGGCATATTTTGTTAGCATTATCTTTCCTTAATGCTGGAACAAAAAAAAAAAAAGGGGTAAAATAGAGATAATGTTAACATTTATACACCACCTGTCATTCAAACATGGGAAAATAGGCTTGCCAAGAATTAGTCATTTACTCAGAAACCGTCTAATTCAAAACTAGCCTTCAGTTTCCAAAGAAATTGGCTTAGTTCGTTGTAGTAGTTGACACAGCTATTTCAGGGATGTATTTTGACGCTCAATTGTTTGCAAAGAGTTTTAATCGACCCAAATAAACAATACAATTATGATACTCCACTTTGCAATAAATTACGAGGGTCATCTGCCAAGCACGCCATAACTCAAAGGTGAGATTAGGCAGCATAAAGTACATATGCAGCCTCACGGTACGCAGGGTTTGTTCTTGCCCGTTCTTTCACTGCTGAATCACTCCCTACAGGGCTTTCTGGTGCCTCACAGGACCAGAGACACTTTGCCCAAATCCCCGCTGCTGGGAAGAGTCACATAGCAAGGACTCAGCTAAGCCCTGTCAGGACAGAAGTTTACAATTCACACTTGGGCTAAAAAAACCTGCTTCTAGTAAAATTTCTAAAGGTAAACTTGTACTTTAAACTTCCACTGTCACGAATCAATGATATGCGAAAAGAATTACAGTGGTCCTTGACTGACAGCAACAGTAGATATTCCCAGTGTAGATGCAATTCTGTGAACAAAATTGTTTCAGCTCTTAGATCTTGGTGTGTTTGGAAGACTAATGATCTTCCTCGCTCAGTACAAAGTACAACTGTGCTAACCTAACCACATCAACTCTCACACCATTTGGCTGGTATAGTACACTGATATTCCAAGTGAAGTTGTTCATCTGTAAAATCATGCGTTGGGAAATCCAAAACAGAAGTGGGAACTATAACTCCAGGCCTTTTACTGCGAATCTGTGTAGCAGATACTACTGTATATCATAAAAAATTAAATAGAGAGGGTGTTCTTTTATGTTTTAACTTTCTCAAAAGCCAAAAATGCCACAGGACTTTGGCAGCAAGAAAATTCCTGGCTGTGCTGAGGCAACTATGGAATATACACATACTGAAGAGAAATTTCTGAAACTTTGTAAGTGGAATGAAACATTTATGGAAAATTTTACTCAAACTTTTAAAATAACACAGCTCAAGAAGCTTGACAGTAGCTATAATTTACTCTGAGTTATGTATTTAGACAGCACACTATTACCAATTTGTTTCTAAGCAAAAAGCCATTTGCTTACGGTACGTAATGTACTATTTGCAGCCACGTACTACATGCAGAACTCCTAAGTGCCTATTTCCTGGTCTCTCTGCTCAGACATTCCCATTCCAATCTCTCCGATTTGCACAGAGTATCATGCTATTTGGGGGTTTTCACGCTGCCCTAGCAAAGCCTTATCCTTTGCACTCTACAGGAAGACATCCACTAATTTTAAAAGGCATCAGATCCAGCTCTTCATGATTAGTCCTTATTCCTGACCTGCAACCATCCCACATCTTCCCTGTGTCGCATACCAGCATTTCCCACTAGTAAACTGACACTAAATTCACTTGTCGCTCCCACGTTACTAAGCGAGCATAACATACTGATTTTCATTCTTTTCACTCTTTTCCGTACCATTCACTTCCACTGTCTCTGGAGACATCTTGTGAGATGTTGCATCACAAATCGTTCTTTCCTCTCAGCAGAGCGACACTTTGCCACTTACTCCTGCAGCCTCGTTGCTCTCCCCAATTAAAATTTCCAAGAGAAAATTTCAGAGAATCTCTCCTGACCTTTGCTCAGTATACCCCCTGGAGAGGCCTGACATTATATAATCTGACTATAGATGAGACAGGGATGAATAAGACACTTACTGTTTTACAAAGATTCATTATCGCCTCACTGGGAATATCAAGGTTATAGGTCCATCTAAAGCTTGGATGAGAGGAGTACAACATGCCAGAAGATTACTAGCGTGTAACAAATTAAATGTTGTGTTACTACTTTTCATTATTTCACTTTGGCTTTGGCTACTCTGTGCAGTCTTCACTCGCATACTCTGAAGCATTTAGCAGGTCACAAGGCATGTTGTCAGCACTATCTTTCTCATCTTTCCATCTAACGTCATTCAAGTACTAGCTCTTGTACTGATGTACTCCACAGTTAGATGCTACAGGGGGCAATCAATCAGCAAAGCCTGGTACTCCACAAGAAAGGAACAGGTACTATGAGACAATGCAGCTTTCCTTTTTCACCTCTTCAGTCAGCAATGCATAAAAACTATGCATAGGATTTTAAGGGACTAATTTTAACTTCCTTAAGTAACAGCAGACTACCTTGTTTGGGTGAAAGATGACTGCAAACACATTACTCACTGCGATGATTCACTTTGGATTATGCTCATTTAGAAATCCAGAATAGAAGAGGTACGCAATACATTAAAAAAAGAGTATCTAAAGTTTCAGTAGTATCCATGAGACAGCTATCAAACTTCAGTAGGAAATACACCTTTTCATAGCAAAGTTAGAATTGATCTCAGATACTTTATTAAACCAAAGTGACAACGTAATCCTACTAAATATTAGTATTCAACTGACACTGGAAGAGTAAAACTAGAACACATAAAAACTGCAACTAGTCAGTCACGTTTGCCTCTACTCAGAGGAAATCCAGACTGCAAAAGCACCGGGGGTAAAACATTAATTAGCAATGTCAGAGTTATCATCCTAACAATTTAGGACAACAGATCCCACAGATTAACATCGCAACACCACCCTGAAAGAACTATGCTAATGGCCTAGAAAACAGAAGAACAGTTCAGTCCACAGGTGCATTCAGACTGCGAAAATGCCAATTGCTGTTTCTCCTTACCAACAATAAATATCATAGTCTCAAGGAACACATTTCAGAAGCAAGTTTCTCTTCAAATACCTCAATGCAGATGCCAGAAATTCCCAGTACAAGCTTGTTAAAATTAAGTGAAAAAGACTAGGTAGTGAGAACAGGCCTGAAAGCCTCACCACACAGCAAAACTACCCAAATATCTTGTAATTTTTAATGTATTTTTATCCTCCTATTAAGGCATCTTCTTTTAATACACAAGAGAAATACAGCCAGCATAGATGCAGCGAGTTGTCCAAGAGCACACCCAGGAACTAAACCAATGTTGTAACCCTTTATTATCTGCCTCTGAGATGCTTCTCTCCTCTCCACTCTCCATAGGGAGCGCCTCCCAGCCATATTTTTCAAATTCCAGTTCAGGAACGTGGAATACAGCTCAGGCAGGAACAAAACCTTCCTGTGTTATGTTGTCGAGACCCAAGGCAAAGAGTCAGTGACTTCCTGGGGTTACCTGGAAGACGAGCATGCAGCTGCCCATGCAGAGATGGCTTTCTTCAACACAATTTTACCGAAGTGCGAATCAAGCCTCCGCTACAACGTCACCTGGTATGTCTCCTCCAGTCCCTGCGTGACCTGTGCCGATCGGATAACCGAGACCCTAAAGAAGAACAAGAACCTGCGTCTGACAATCATGGTAGGGCGCCTCTTCATGTGGGAAGATCCAGAAATGCAGGCTGCCCTGAAAAAAATGAAGTCAGCTGGCTGCAAGCTGAGGATTATGAAGCCTCAAGACTTTGAGTATGTCTGGCAGAACTTTGTGGAACAGGAGGAAGGAGAGGAAGCAAAGGCTTTCGTGCCATGGGAGGACATTCAAGAGAACTTCCAGTATTATGAGGAAAAGTTGGCTGAGATTTTGCACTGAAACTCACGTGAGTGAGGATTTCCACTTGGTCATGTATCTGCTTGTATTAGTATCACAGACTCCTCTTTTTTCTTCAGGTTGTTGAAGGCGTAACCCGGAACCAATTTCAGTTACTGTTACTCTTGCATGTACCTGGCTGGGTTTGCCTGTACCTGAATATTGGAAATAATCCTAGGCAGTAACTTAACCCCTTCAAGGGTAGTAACACTACAGTGGGCTCCTCCACAGCAGACATGTAAGGGATTTAGAACTTTTTTTTTTTCCCCCTCCTCAAACACCTCCAGGACTAAAGAATAAAAAGGTACTAGGTTCACTAGGTGCGACAAGAATACCTCATTGTTCCCCACATGCATGACATTCAGGACACACACAGAACAGTCAGAGGAATGTAGAGAAAAGCAGATTTCCACCACCCCACGAAGTCTAGCCCTCTAGAAAACAAAACCAAAAACACCACTAAAGGAAATTACAGTTATCATTGCAGAATTCCCTCTTTTCTTTTTTTTTTTTAAGGAGTACTAAAGAATCACCTATTTAAGCCGTAAAACTTGAAAGCATTTAAAGCCTCTAACATGTCTCTCCTTCCTTCCCTAGGACCAATTCAGAAAAGATCTATAAAGAGATGCAACAGACTTGTACATCCGGGACACTCCCACTTTCCAAAGCTTTGATTCCAGCAGGATGGGGCACGAACTTCTGGAAGACTAGGCCTTGATGGACTACAAATACATATACAACACAGATCTTCGGTGTTTGGGATTTTTTTTGGTTTATTTTGTTCCCTCCTCCCCCAACAAACCCAAGCTGCCTCTGCTGATAGGAAAAAAAAGGAGGCACTATACTGTGTGGTTAAAGCCTTGAATTAAATGGATTGCAGTGGACCTACAGGGAAGACTGTAGGGCTCACATACTGGGACTACTTTACAAGAAATGATCTTAGAACAAAGCTGCCAATTAGATGAATGCATTTAGAAAGTACATACTTCATAAATGTGAAAGGGATTTAAGATGAAAAAGAGGTTTTCTTCCTCTGTCGTCAATAATCAGAGCTGTCATTTAAATTGGGGCTAACTGGTCTATTCTAAATTATGATGGAGCCTTAAGCACTTGATTTCAAATACATCAGATACCTTCTCCCCTTGTTCAATGATGTTTGTGATATAAAACTGGGAAAAGCAAAGCAAAACAAAATAAAATTGGAAGTCACTGCAAAAGTTTTAGCACTGTTTATTCCTTCTTCTCTATTTGCAAGAGGTCCTAAATTTAATCTGACAAGTGAGACATCCCGAGACAGCCATATGAAGTATTTCTTAGTTGAAGCGCAGCATGATGAGAAGGGAGAATTACTATATGCCAAAAAAATTTCAAGAGTACATACAAGTGTGCGAGACAGAGAGAGAGAATATGGGCACATCACTTTCCATATAAAACAAGATACAGACCAAAAGGTCACAGGGACACTTGTCAAGTAAGAAACTGAGTCATGCAAGGTTCATGCTTCCTATCAGTTCTTCCTGTTGGTTTCTCCTGCACTGTCACCAGCTGCAACAGCGCTAGACACAGGCGTATACAACTGCTGACTGCATCCATCTCTTACCTCAGTCAACCGCACTAAGTTCTGGCATAAATTTTCAAGGCAGAAAAAAGAGCGGCAATGAGAACACCTTTGTGGAGCCGCTGTGGATTTCATCTCTCTGCCACTAGTTTTAAAAAACAAACATAAATAAGCATAAGGACTAAATCAATGAGCAGTCTTGATGCCCACTCTTGATCAGCTCAATACTCCAAGTTCCTATTTGTCTTACTGAGTTTATTTTTTTTTCCAGTTGTGTATTTTGTTTATCTACAGGCAGTATCCACCAAAAACAAGTTTACAAAGGTCAACAAACAGAGTATTAACATGAAGCTCTTAAAGACACAAACAGGATCTGCAGTTCTGCATCAGCAAAGAAACCACACAATATAGATTAACCCATAATCCTAAGAACAGAAAACACTCCACCCATTCAATTCATAGTGAAAACCAATTAGCAAACCTATGTTATGCTACAAACTTCTCAACTGTTATGTCCCATCTGTTAGGTTTATTCAATATACCTGACATTTTTCTGGGCATTCAGTATGAGAGAAGTCAAAGATTTGTTGTTATGGGAGGGCGGGAAAAACCAAACATAAAGGAAATGCGGAGTATATGACAGTTCTCCAGTACTGGAACAAAACTTCCAAAAACCAAGCGTTTACCAGTGATCTGATGAACTAAGTGTGTCACTCATTTGCTTTTGCTACTGGTGACATCAAACACCAACCTACATATAACAGCTAAACTAAAAATGCAGTAAAAAAAAGAAATATGAAAAACAAACCTTAAACTCCATACTATGACTTTTTACAGCCCATCAGTCATTCACGTGTGGATTCTCACAAAACTGAGTTCTGCAGACTATACCAATTATACAGTATAAAATGCACCCACACGGTGCCTCTACACATCTCCAGCACTCCCCTACCAAACGCAGCTTTCCTCTAGAATACAGCCACAACACATACAGACACAGGCCTGTTTTTCAAAAGGACTGTGCACTGATCTGACAGCAGAGTACTGAAGAGCTATTTATTTAATGTTGACAGCATGATTCTTAGCGAGTATAGTCTCATAACAAAAAATTATGTTTGTGGCCAGAAGGCAGAAATTAAATTTTTAATCCTGTAACGAACAGAGTAAATAAACTGTATGCCTGTGAGGAACACTGCAAAACTTCTAAAAAAAAAAAAAAGAAGTGACAGGGCTCCACAGCTCATCATAATCAACCGTAACTACAAACCAACAAATGCCTAAGCAAAAGACAGCTCCCATTTCACTCTGCACAGGAACTGTCAGCTTTAAGTAGAAACTCTAGTGCAGGCAGGCGCTCTGTGGAGGACCAGTGACATCTGGTGGCTTGCTGGGACAGACTGGACACTCCCGTAGGGCTACCACAACACCGCTGCCTTCTTCACAGGATCCCTGAATACTACATCCCAAAAATCAGCTACTCTGGAGCTTTTTTTTGTTGTTCTTGCTGTTGTTAAAAGCCACTGCCACTGACAACACAAGAGTCAGCTACAGTCAGACAAAGAATGTGCTCAGCATGCACTTTCCCTCCTCATCAGTTAACAGGTTTCCCCTCCTGGAAACAAGGGAAATGGGGCTCTTTAAACCCTTTTGCTCACAGAGTGTAAACTGTGATCTTTATATCTGTGTCTTCAAAGACTTCTCCAAGTATTGCTGAAACTTTATTCCAATCCAGGCGGTCAAGTCCACATCCAATCCTGCAAAATAAGACATCAAAACACCTGTAACAGCCTCTTTTGGAGCATGCTATGAACATCTATCCCTTCAAGCAGCTAAAATCTTATGTGGCACTAACTCAGCTCACCATAAATCAACAGACTGCAGTTAAAGTAAGGAAACAACCAAGCCTGTATGTTTTGCTATGATTTAAACACATTGCAAAATGCCAAGTTTCATTTGCACAAGTGATTAGAAGAGTTGAATTGAAGTGGATACTTGAACTCTTACTTCATGGCAGGGGATCATCTCTCAAACATCCTTCTGCGCAAGAAGCATTCAAGTTATTTACGTTGCAGTAGCCAATTTTCTTACCTAGGCATGGAAATGTCAGTAACTCCATTGTTTAGACAGTGAGCTTTCATGGCTTCTAAACTCTTTCGCATACTCTCATATGTCGGTTTGTGAGAAACTTTCTTCTTTGTAATCTAGGTATAAATGTAAAAGGTCAGTTGTGCCTTTGGCATGATCACTGCAAACTACTTTTTAAAAAACACATTCCACTACACTCTGAAACTCCACACCCAGACTTGCTATTGTGAAGAGAAAAAGACTTGGAAAAAGAACTATGTTTCACAGCTTAAAACAATATTAATTTAGCAGCTAGTTCTGTCTGTTTAATACAGACACAATAAAACATATACAAGACAGCTTGGCTTCTCCTCAACTAGCAATATTTGAATAATACATTTCACACCTCTTATTTAGAAGATCCTCAAAAACCCCACAACTATTAAAGCCCTCATTATCATATCTAATACAGCTTAGTTACAGGGAAGTGCCTGAGCAATTTTCCACTCTTACCAGATAGTAAATGTATCGGTCATCTCTTTGGAGAACTGCCACCTCCCCAGTCTTCTTTTCTAAAGTGAAGAAATTAAGAAGGTATTTTTAAAACAGTTATATTCCACTACATGATTCCCTCTGTACCCTAAGTAGCTTGGAATACCCTTACTGCTGGAAATCAAGGTTTTCCCTTCAGCTCCTGCATGTCCACCCCACGTGTATCACTCACGTTGATCCAACAGCTCTTGTACGCCTCCAAACTTTTTCTTAAAAAGAACAGCTATGCCTGCACCCATGCGACAGTCCTCGCTGATGCAGTGAGCCAATGAGTCCGTCTGGGGGCATGAGAAAAGGTCCCCCTTAACACACTTGATCTGAAAAACACCACAAAACAGAAGGGTAAATAAAAATAAGCTAAGAGTGCAGACTCGGACAACAGAATAGTCAGATAACAGGCAATCTGGCAAGCCTGTACAGCCAAGAGAGTAAGGCATTGAGTTTAAGATGCAGTTCAGATGTAAATGAGTTGGCATGAATTACTAATGCTATATACAGATAACTATATTTTCTACAAGATCAGTTACGAGTATCACATGACAGCTTAGCAGTTAATTTTATAAAATCAATGCTTAAAAAGGAAAATTATGCAACAGAGAGTACAAATGGATTAGTGCACATTTTCAGCATATTATCACTGCGTCAGTGCTGGGCAATCTCATATACTTAGTTAAGCGCGTAAGCTCTGTCCTGTTGTAGAATATCTGCATCACTGACATAAGCACAAAAGCACAAGGAATTTAGCAGTATCACAGCCACTTTCCTCCAAAAAGCCACATGGTACAGCCAGCTGCCATGTTATTAGGCCTCTAATAACAGCAAGGCCTCTTTACAGAGACATGCATCACAGCAGTAGCCCATAAAACCATTTTCTACGCACTCTCTCCTCCTGATCCTTGGAGAAGTGGGTGGCCATGGTAACGTGGCCTATGGTGAAGGCTCCTGTGGCTGGAAAGATGACAGAAAGAAAAGCAGAGTTATTAGGAACCCCAAACTAGACAATAAGCTCGTGTGCCAGAAGCTGCAAGGCTAAGCCTGCTTTATCTATGGGACAGCTGGGACAATTAAGACACTCCCTGAAAATAGCAAAGGAGAAGGTCAGTACACCTGAATAGTGTGATACAAGCTTCCCTGCTGCAGCCCCACAGCTCCAGCCCATGAGGCGCAAGGAGGGCCCAGTCCACGGTCACCACAGAACTAGCACCCACAGGCCTTCCATCCTCCTCCAAATCACCCATACCCCTTCAGGAAACCCTTCAGCAAGCCACACCCGCAGACGCGGTGTGAAGAACGATCCGCCGAGACGAGGCCTGGGCCAC